AAGAAATCACCCCCCAGGGGGGATGGCCATGCCGCAATCCCTTCTCCGCCATGCTCCTCTCGGGATCTTGGGCACGCACGCACAAGCGCCCGGCTTGAGTTCTAAGCCACCGGGTCTGGGACACCAACCGTGGTCGACTACATGGGAGTCTAGCAACATAGCCATTACACTAACTGCTGGTTCCCTCTCTCCCATCTTTTGTCTTAACTACAACCCCACTTCTCTGGTCTTCCTGCCTTGTTTACTCTCTTCTCCCTCTGCAGTACTCCGCAACTGTGACCTACTTTAATATGTTATGAGTTCTACATATTAAATAGTTATTCAGAACCAGATACTTTTTTTCCTGGGCCTGGACACACCTTTCTGCACAGAGTTTACTTGACACCTCTAGCCAAGGTCATGCCCCTTTTGCAGAGCAGCAAGTTAGAGACCTCATCATTAGTCTACCTGTTAAAGTTCCTCCATTCTGTGACCTTTAGATGCCCATGATTTACTACCACCCTTTATCTTCCTTTGCCTTGGCTTGTCTTTCCTCTTCTCCTTCCTCTCTTCTCTTCTCCCTCCCCCTCTCCTCCCCTCCATTCTCCTTCATTCTGTGACCTTTAGAGGCCTGTGATTTACCACTACCCTTTTTCTTTCCCTTTCTTCCCTTCCCTTCCCTCTCCTTCCCTTTTTTTTTGGGGGGGGAGGGGGGTCAGAGGGCATATGTGCTTACAAGAGAATGACAGAGAGAGGTAGAGGAGAAAGCACCTATCATGGGGAAGGATCATGCTGTAATCCCTTCTCCTCCATCTCTCTCTCCTTTCAGGATTCTGGGCACAAACTTCTATGTGCCCAGTGTGTTTCTCAAGATCTGGGTCTCATAATTGAACCATAAGGTCAGCCATGTGGGGTCTGGTTCCCTTGTCCTGCCAGCAAGCTAATGGGCTCTTTTGTTGACATGTCAGACACAGTGATGATGGCACTGCTGCTTCCCCCTAAAGCCAACATGTGCTTGACCAGCATTTCTTTGCTTTCAGGTTGTTGGTGTGGAACAGAGGATGAGAACGTACCTTGTGAGCAGAGTTTTTCTGCAAGAGTGTCACAGGTCAGGACTCCTGAGTCAGGTCCATTCATCCAGAAAGCCCATCCATATGAAATGTGTGACCCATTCTTGAGAGACATTTTGCAACTGGCTGAACACCATGGATCCCATCCTGTGCAGAAACCATATACATGTGGGCCATGTGAGAGAGAATTCTCATCTAGTACAAAGTTTTACCAGCTCAAGAAGCAACACAATAGAGAGAATCCCTTTGGAGGGGATGCTGGCGAGACCTCATTTGTGAAGAGCTGCACAGTTCATATGTTAGGGAGACCCTTTATGCATAGGGAAGAGAGCATGGGCTTGCCAGATGGCTCTAGCCTCCACCAATGCCAGACCACACACAGTGAGGTAAGTCCATGCAAAAGGACTGAGTACATAGAGTCTTTTCTATATACCTCCAGTCTCAAGCAACATCCAGAAGACCATGATGGACAGATGCTATTTAGTTACAGTGACAATTCACAAGCCTTCCTGAGCACCTTTTCTCTCTTTGACAACCAGGTAACTCACCCTGAGGTGAGACCCTTTAGATGCCTGCCATCTGGCAGTGTGTTCAAAGAGAAATCAGCTTTTATTAATCATAGAAAAATTCACAATGGAGAAACGTCTCATGTGTGTAAGGAGTGTGGAAAGGCCTTCATTAATATGACCCACCTAAAAATCCACCAGAAATTTCACATTGGAAAAAGACATTATACATGCAGCGAATGTGGGAAGGCCTTCAGCCGCAAAGACACACTTGTACAGCACCAGAGGGTTCACACTGGAGAAAGGTCTTATGACTGCAGCGAATGTGGGAAAGCCTACAGCAGAAGCTCCCACCTTGTTCAGCACCAGAGAATTCATACTGGAGAAAGGCCTTTTAAGTGCAGTGACTGTGGGAAGGCCTTCAGCCGTAAAGACACGCTTGTACAGCACCAGAGATTTCATACTGGAGAAAGGCCTTATGAGTGCAGTGAGTGTGGGAAATTCTTTAGCCAGAGCTCCCACCTTATTGAGCATTGGAGAATTCATACTGGAGCAAGGCCTTATGAATGCATTGAATGTGGGAAATTCTTTAGCCATAACTCCAGCCTCATTAAGCATCGGAGAGTCCACACAGGAGCAAGGTCTTATGTGTGCAGCAAATGTGGGAAAGCCTTCAGCTGCAAAGACACACTTGTTCAGCACCAGATAATTCACACTGGAGCAAGACCTTATGGGTGTAGTGAATGTGGGAAGGCCTTTAGCCGTAAAGACACACTTGTGCAGCATCAAAAAATCCACACTGGAGAAAGGCCTTATGAATGTGGTGAATGTGGAAAATTCTTCAGCCATAGCTCCAACCTTATTGTACACCAGAGAATTCACACTGGAGCAAAGCCTTATGAGTGTAGTGAATGTGGGAAATGTTTTAGCCACAACTCCAGTCTCATTCTACACCAGAGAGTTCACACTGGAGCAAGGCCTTATGTGTGCAGTGAATGTGGAAAAGCCTATATTAGTAGTTCCCATCTTGTTCAACACAAGAAAGTCCACACTGGAGCAAGACCTTATGAGTGCAGCGAATGTGGGAAATTCTTTAGCCGTAATTCTAGCCTCATTCTACACCAGAGGGTTCACACTGGTGAAAAGCCTTATGTATGCAGTGAGTGTGGGAAAGCCTATAGCAGAAGCTCCCATCTTGTTCGACACCAGAAAGTTCACACTGGAGAAAGGGCTTATAAGTGCAGTAGTTTTGATGACCCTTTAACCACATCTCTTAAACTTATTTAGTGCCAGAAAATTATACTAGCAAAAAGCCTTATAAGTGCACCAAATGTGCTTTTCGTTCAACATAATAGGACTTATATCAGAGAAAAGCTTTGTGAGAAAACCATCAGCCAACAGATGAACCTCATGCATTCATATATCTACCCTGGGGAGATTTGCAATAAGCACTGTGTACATTTGGAGCTGTTCGAGGTACTTTGTGCTTTCCAGGGCTCATGACAGAGTTACATCACTGCCAATGCATGTGGTGGAAGCCATTTTAGTACCAGCTGTGTGTGCCAGTCACTTCACTATGCTCAGGGAAGGCAGAGCTCTATGCTCCTGCTCCTATTTTCTGTGGGAAATCCTAAGCATTCTGAGCCCACTGGAGTTCTCATATCTTCTCTCATGATTAGGTTCTTAATGGACATGATCAAACTCTGGCCAGAAGGACGTCAGCTAGAGTCTGCTTGGAATTGCTATATAAGGTTTCCCTTCTTCATGGACAGTGTTGACCATTGACCTAATAGCCATGACTTAATTCCCAAATTATCCAACTTTGGAATTTCTTATCCAATGCTGTTATGGTTTATACAGTGATAAAGACCTCCTGTGGCAGTCTTGACTTGTAGGTTCTGTCTGTGTAAAGTGGATTAAAGAAAGAATTTTTGCCAGCATGAAGAGGGCAACACCTTTTATGGGCACCACTTTTACGTTCCTCAGAGGGGACCATAGGATGACAGAGAATAGTACTCAGTCTAGTTTGACATAATTTTGCACTGTACCCTAGTTCTGCTGAGGAGACTTTTTTTTTTTTGAGAGGTTTTTTTCACTATAGGGCGCGTGCGCTCGCCAGACAGAGAGAGACATAGAGACAGAAAGCGAGAAATCACCCCCCAGGGGGGATGGTCACACTGCAATCCCTTCTCCTCCATTCTCCTCTTGGGATCTTGGGCACGCACGCACACGCGCCCGGCATGAGTTTTAAGCCACCGGGTCTGGGACGCGAACCGCAGTCGACTATGTGGGAGTCCAGTGACATAGCCATTATGCTAACTGCTGGTTCCCAAGACTTTTGTGGTCTGGATGTTGGAATTTCCTGTGAGCTCATATTCGTTCTGTTGAGGGCATAGTTGGTAAAATGTCCACTGTTTCTAGAACCAATGATTTGGGTCCCTTGCTTGTCACATATTCCCCGGCACTTTTGAAGTATTGGTGGCTTCTGACCTGTGCAGAAGCCAGTCCCTACTATCTAGCATCCCATAGCAAGTGTCATTAACTGTAGGACCAACAGGGCAGGGTGGGAGTCATGATTGGTACATTAACACTGAGATTAATGGAGTGGGGTGACTTTGACAAGATAAGATTCACAGATTCTAAAAGAATATCCACTTTTTCGTGCAGTCATGTCTGTGGAATGAGGGTATATAGAAATTCTCAGGACCTCCAGACAGCTATATCTCCTGTGGCAGAGGCCACTGTCACTAATCTAAAGATTAGTAGTTTCCTTATGGCCATCACTAAACAGGCAGGAACCCCAGTACTAACAGAAGAGATATCAGGGGCTAGGGCTTCTCTGATCTATCTAGCATTCCTAGTGATTGTGGTAGACATGGACTTCATTTTTCTCCAGTTTTTGCTGACAGTGAGGCAAGACTAATTCCTGAATTGTGAGGATAGGGGTCTGATTGATTCAAAATAGTTGACACATCTGCCTTTCTATGAAAAATGGTAGATAGGAATTTTTCTTTTTCTTTTTGTTTTTTGGAGAGATTTTCACTGTAGGGCGCGTGCGCTCGCCAGACAGACAGAGAGAGACATAGAGACAGAAAGCGAGAAATCACCCCCCCAGGGGGGATGGTCACGCCGCAATCCCTTCTCCTCCATTCTCCTCTCGGGATCTTGGGCACGCACACACACGCGCCAGGCGTGAGTTTTAAGCCACCGGGTCCGGGACACGAACCGCGGTCGACTACGTGGGAGTCCAGTGACATAGCCATTACGCTAACTGCTGGTTCCCAGTGTCATTGAGTTTTGATTAACATGTAACAATGTGTTGTTTTCAGCATGTGTATACATACACTTGTAAAACCACCACAGTCAAAATGAAAATACCCAACACAACCAGAAAGTTTCTTTCGTCTCTTTATAATCCTTACCTTTCAGTTCTTTCTAATGGTCTTTCCCACAATTCACAAGCAACAGTAAGCATTTTGTAGACTTATAAGTGAATCAATGTGGTATGTACTTTTTTGGGGGTATAGTCTCTGACTTTTTCACTAACCATGACTATTTTGAGGTTACTTAATCTCCATATGAATCAATAGTCTGTTGGTTCATATTGTTGAGTAGTAGTCACTGAATACCAGAATTTTTTTCTTAATTCATTCAGTTATTAATGGATGTCTGGGTTGTTTATGGTTTTTGGCTTTATAAATAAAGCTTCTGTGAAGATTAGTATGCAAGTTATGGCTGAATAATAATTCAGTGTATGGATGTGCCACAGTTTGTTTATTCAACACCTATTAAAGGACACAGTGGCTTTTCAAGTTTTGGGAATTATGGATAAACCTGTAAGCATTTTTGTGCAGTTTCTATATAGAAATAAGTCTCCAGTTTATCATGCTAGGGAGTATAACTTGCTAGATCAAATATTGAGTATGTTTAGTCCTGTAAGAAACTGCCAGACTCTCTTCCTAAGTAACTGAGCCACATTGAATTCTTAGCAGCAATGAATGAGCCTGTCTTGCTGTAAATCCTTCCTACCATTTGACATTGTTAGTGTTTTGGATTTTATGAATTATTTTTATTCTTTTTTTTTTTTCCTTTAATTTGACTAGAGAGTGAGAAAGTAAGCCACTAAGTCCAGGACTTGAACCATGATTGGCCATCTGGTAGTGTTCAGCACCTTAACTACCACACCACCTGTTGGTCCCCAATGTTTTGGATTTTAAGCATTCAAATAGGTGTCATTATTGCTTTAATGTGCAATTTCCTAATGATACATGATGAAGACTTCATCCGTCTTTAACAGTATCTTTTGCAGAACAAAAGTTTTTACATTTTAATCAAGTTCAACTGAAACCATTTTTCTTTCATGGATTTTTATTTTGGCATTGTAGCTGGAAAGTTGTTGCAAAACCCAAGGCCACCTGTATTTTTGCCAGTGTTACTCATAGGAGTTTTCCCGTTTTGTGTTTTACATGTAGGTCTGTGCTTTATTTTGAGTAAATTTTTTTGAAGGATGTAAGGTCTATGTCCAGATTCATTTAAAAAAAAAAAAAAACATGAATATGTACATTTATCCAGTACCATTTGTTGAAAAGACTGCCCTGTCTCTGCTTATTTTTGCTGCTTTGTAAAAGGTCAGTTGGCTGTATTTATATAGATCTATTCCTGGGCTTTCTGTTCTAGTTTTTTTGTTTTGTTTTTTGCTTCTGTTGATAGTTAGATGTGTGGGTATTTGAGATGTGTGGGTGTTTGAGATGTGTGTGTATGCATGCATTCATTTGTATGCTATATTAATTGATTTTTCAAATGTTCAACCAACTTTTCATTCTTGGGATAAATCTCACTTGGTTATTATATATAATCCTTTTTATATGTTGCTCAATCAGTTTTTCTGATACTTTTGTTCAGTTTGTATCTGTGTTCATGAGGGATGATTAGTTTATGGTTTTCTTGTAATGACTCTGTCTAAAGTTGATATCAGAATAATTCTGACCTCATAGAACAAGTTGGAGAATGGTTTTTTTTTTTTTTAGAGGTTTTTGCTATAGGACGCATGCACTCGCCAGACAGACAGAAAGAGACATAGAGACAGAAAGCAAGAAGTCACCCCCCGGGGGGATGGTCATGCCACAATCCCTTCTCCTACATTCTCCTCTCGGGATCCTGGGCATGCACGCACACGCGCCCAGCACGAGTTTTAAGCCACCGGGTCCGGGACGCGAACTGCGGTCGACTAAGTGGGAATCCAGCGACATAGCCATTATACTAACTGCTGGTTCCCTAGTTGGAGAGTGTTTTGTTCTTTATTTTCTGAAGAGCGTCTGAAGGATTAGTGCTAATTCTTTATTTGCTAGAATTCCCTAGTGAAGGAATCTGAACTTGGGGTTTTTTGTGTGTGCTTACATGCAAGATTTTCAATAAAAAATTACTTAGTATAGTTCTACGTAGATTTTTTTGTTATTTAAGTCATTGTGATTGTGTGTACTATGGTCTGAATATGTACTTTCAAAATTTATGTTGAGGGAACCAGCAGTTAGCGTAATGGCTATGTCGCTGGACTCCCACGTAGTCGACCGTGGGTCGTGTCTCGGACCTGGTGGATTAAAAATCACACCGGGCACGTGTGCGTGCGTGCCCAAGATCCCGAGAGGAGAATGGAGGAGAAGGGATTGCGGCGTGACCATCCCCCCTGGGGGGTGATTTCTCGCTTTCTGTCTCTATGTCTCTCTCTGTCTGGCGAGCGCACGCGCCCTATAGCAAAAACCTCTCAAAAAAAAAATTTATGTTGAAACTTAATCACCAATGTGACACTATTGGGGTAGGACCTTTAGGAAACGATTAAGTTACCTCCCCCTTCATCAGTGGTATTAGTGCCCTTATAAAAGGTGTGAGGGCTAGCAGGTGGTGTGGTGGTTATGGTAGCTGGATCCCATCTGGCAGACTATGTGGTTCAAGTACCAGACATGGTGACTTCAAAAATATTCCTGGCATGTGCGCATGCATATCCAAAATCCAGGGAGGATAAAGAATTGTAGCGTGGCCCTGATGGGGTTCTTTTTCACCCCTTATTCCCTGTCTCTCTTCAGCAAGCATATGTGCCTATTAGCAGACAAACACAAAGGGTGTGAGATAACTGCCCTTTCTACCATGTAAGCTATCTTTGAGGCATACACCAAACCTGCCAGCACCACCATCTTGGAGTTTTCAGCTTCCAGAACTATGTGAAGTAAATTTTTATTCTTTAACAACTCCCTAGTTAAGGTATTTTTGTTATGGTAGCCAAAACAAACTTAAGTTTTCTTGAACTTTGTCCATTTCAAATAAATTGTTTTTAAGGAGATAAGGATTGTTCATAATATTCCCTTATGGTAATTTAAATTTCTTTTGGGTCAATTGGAGTGTCTTCTCTTAATTCTTGATTTAGTTGGTTTGTCTTATTTTCTTTAGTATTTTTTATTTATTTATTTAGGGAGATTTTTTCCTATAGGGTGCTTGTACTCTCCAGAGAGACAAAAAATAAGAAATTACCCCTCGGGGGGATGGCCACGCCACAATCCCTTCTCCGTTTTTTTCTGTTAGGATATTTGGGGATGCATGCACATGTGCCCAAGCATGAGTTTTGAACCGCTGGGTCAGGAGCTCAAATTGTGGTCAGCTATGTGAGAGTCCAGCAATGTAACCATTACACTGCCTGCTGGTTCCACCTTTTTTAAAGTTTTTATTTATTTTTTGCTATAGGGCATGTGTGCTCACGGGAGAGAGACAGAGGAACAGTGAAAGGGAAAGTGAGAAATCACCCCCTGGGGAGATAACCATGCCACAATTCCTTCTCAGCTCTCCTCTTTGGATTTTTGGGTATGCACACACATGCACCCAGTGTGATTTTCAAGTTGCCAGGTCTAGGACTTGAACTGTGGTTGGCCATGTGGGAGTCCAGTACCTTGATTACTATGCCAGATATTTACTTCTTCCAAGAGTGAGACAGAAATAGCATCCCTAGCAGGATCTTCATGCTCTAATCCATCTCCACTGCCAGCCAGCCCTGGATCATATGTACATGCATACTTGGCATGCTCAGGGCAATCTCTAGATGGGAACCCAAAAA